TTACAGTACAATATTCTAGAATAATTTCTAGAGAGTCAATATGACAAACCCAAATTGCACATCCCATTTGCACATTTTTTGTTTTTAAACCATTTATTAGATCATGTGTTTTAGCTTATGTGTATTGATGTTTTGAAGCATGTAGGTATGTGGTCTGTTGTGGCTGGTGTCCGCTGAGGTCAGAAGGCATGTGATCTACTGTAACTAAAGTTAGGAATGGCTATCAACAACTTTGCCAGTGGTGGGGACTGCAACTGTGTCCTGTTCAAGCACAGCAAGTGCTATTAGCTGCTGAACTAACTCTCATCCCCATTCCACCTCGAATGTCACTGGAACCTCTCACCATTCTTACCTCAATCCCTACAAAATACTTGATATATTTGTTATTGTCTATTTCCTCTCCACCTTCCAGGCCTCTTTGTTCTGCTTCACAAGTCAGTCTTGTCAGTGAGCCCAGACTGAGAAAGATGCTCCAAAATTACTTGGATTTCTATCACACTACTGTGCTCTATAAATAAATAGAAAACTAAATAGAGGATTTTATTTATACAAAAGATTCAACTATCATGCAAGGTCTTAGTACTGTTACTCCTTTTGGAGCATTTTCAGAAACATAACATGGTTTTTACCACTCATAATCACATATCAATCAAAACTCAAGGGTTAGAATGGAATTGAATGGTTGGGATGACAATATTTTTACAATTTTGAGTTTCTCAATTAATCATTGAATAAAAATAAAAGAAGCCTTACTTATGCCATAAGGAACATTATAAAGAACAAAAAGGTAACATGCAATGTTATTTTCTCCTCCTCTGTGAGACACATTCACATAGAGCTCATAAACTTACACAGTAGTTTTCATTGGAAACCTGAGGAACAGTAGAGACTGCAAGAAAGTGATGTGCACTCACAGAAACCAGAGTGAAGCAATTCCTCAAAGTCCAACATCTGTACAAAGTACAGTGAGGAGGGTCTAGGCATTTCCTTCTTCCCATAAAAAGAAATGTCATCAAGTCCTGGAATTAAAGAGAGTATTTGAGCCAGCAGTGTTTATTCAGTGCTTTAATCTTAACACGAAGAAGGCTGAGAGAGACAAATCTCATGTAAGTCCAGGCTTGCTCAAAGTGGTGACTTCTCAGGGCAATGGACTGAAATATTTACTCAATAAAACAAAGCCAAAATCAAACAAGAGCAAAAAATTTAGTCATTCATCCATAGGAAATATGCTTTTGTTGGGCCAACAAGATAAAAGACAGTAAGAGTCAATTTTTTAATACACTTGAGTCATTAAAATTACCTAAAAGCAGTCCAATTTTCTCCTAAGCTATAGTGCATTTTATAACTGTAAATATAGTACAGCCTGATATTCTCTCACAGCAAACATATTATGCTTTTCCATACTGTAAGGTATAACATAAAGAACCTAACATAAGAGTGCAGCTTGAGAACAACCGCAGGATCCTCTGGTGCCACTTAGCTTAGATGGTGCCATTATGATAGGAAATAGGAGAGAGGGCCTGAATGGTTCATGTGGAGAGAAGCTATCTGAAGAGGCAAAGGTGATAACATATGCGCTGATTTGACATCTGAGCATGGGCTTCTGCCATGGGCAATGTCTAGGTTTGTGACCATACCACAGCCAGGGCCTGTGTTGATGTCTTTGGTTCCTGTTTGCACGGATGGCTATGCGGATGTGTGGGGTCTATCTGGGCTGTCACTTAGGTCCATGTTGGTGTCTGGGGCCCATCTTGCTGCTGGATCATGCTTTCTGAGTGGACTGAACTGGCACCCAGGGTGTCTCATGGGTCCAGGTAGATGCTGAGGATCATGTCTGTGTCTGCTGTCCTACTGCAGCCAAGGCCTGTGTTGATGGCTATGGCCTGTGTTGCCACCAAAGGTCATACAGATGTCTGGGGAATGTCTGGGCCCTCAGCCACTACCTGTGGCCATGTTGGCATCCAAGGGCCTTGTAGCTGCTGGGGACATTTTGATCTCAGAGGCCTATGCTGCCACCTATGCTGTGATGTAATTAGGGCTGGAGCTGCTGCTGAGGGCAATGTCTGGCTCTTACCAGACATTCCACAAATGCTGTTGAATGTTCCAATCCCACAAAGGCCTCTGCTTCATTTGCAATCATATAGTGATTGTTC